GTCCACCACGTCTTTCAGGTTATTTCCAAGCTGATTACACTGAAACGAGTCAGAAATATGTTTTTCAGTGTATCATTTCAAACGATTAGTTTAAATTTTCATTAGTTATATAAATGACTGAAGGGATCAATAATGTCATAACAGACCTGCTCAATACTGTTTGAATGTTTGCTGAATTTAGAGGCAAATGCTGCCATCTATTGGTTGCAATCATAAAGGGCTTCATTTCCCATCCAGCAAAATGATTCTAACAACTGGTGTTTGTGGAGAATGCAATTATAATGTTCCTGGAAATAGGCTTAATTTTTTAAAGCAAAACTGAATTTCTTATTTCTTTCTTTTTGTTTTTGCAGTGACCTCTAGGATTTGAAGATTCTGACACGGATTCTACATAAAGACCAAAAACAGGAAAATTACCTGCGTGTGCAAGGCTTTGTAGCGACTGGCGGCAGAATCCAGCCTTTCTTTCACTGCAGCACAAGTCCCGGACATATCAACCACTGGCAGGCCGCCAGCTCCCCCAGATTCACTACAATCGCAGGCCTTTGCTGCGTCCAGCACCTTCTGACCGGAGATGGTAATGAAACGCAGGTCTCCTTTATGAGAGATGACGTCCTCAGAGAAACTCTTCTGTCTCTGTAGATTGTTACTCAGAGTGTCCAGAGCAGCAGCGGGCGCACCGAGCTCCTCCATCTCCCCTGTGGCCTGCTGTAGCCACGTCTCAAACTCCTCACAGTCCCCCTTGAACTTCTGAAGCTCCTCCTGAACAGTCTGGACCTGCTTCATCTGCTGCTCGGCCTGCGTGAGGGAGGCCTTGTAGCGACCCTCCAGCTCTTTAATGTCCCTCTGTAACTTGTCTTTTTCAGCGGGTGACAGGACCTGAGCCTGTTTGTCGAGTAACGCTTGTGCTGATTGTGTGGCGATGATCAGATCCTGCTGTTGGGACAAGATCTCCTGGTGGTGGGCCTGTGGAGATGGGGAATTGAGAGCTTAGTAATCTGAATGTGTTTTATTCACCTGAATCTCATTTACGCTGTTAACAAGTCACCATTTAATTAAATATTCTGGGTCTACAGATCATGAATGCACCAATATAAACAAATGATCTTATGGTGAATATAATTGCTTAGCCCTTGTTTT